TGTTTTGTTGTGAAAGCGAAACTTATTTTTTTTGGCCTTCCAAAAGAGGACACAACTAGAAATCAGTGGTTAAGTTGTATTTAAAACACTGTTCCAGAACAGTTCAACCCAAATATTCAGATGTGTGCAGCGCATTTTATGGAGGACTGTTTCCTGAACCTGCAGAGTAGACTACAATGCGTCGGTGCACAAAGGCTCTTTCTATAAAGTGGGGCAGTTCCAACTTTGCAAGGACAGTCTGGCGCTTCTGACTCACAGCCTGTAAGTACGTTTTTTATATTTAAAGAATTTGCCACTGACGATTCAAACGTGAGTTTTGAGCAGTGTAGAGTAGCGCTTGTTGTTTGTGTTTCTCCAATCACAAATGCAGACATGGTTTTATGTTTACGCAGCGCGATACGCAATGCAACGCGTAAAAAGACAGTATAAGTCATTATAATCCGTAATTATGTCCCCATTGGATGCAACAAATGTCTTGTTTGTAATGGGTTTTATTGGTGTTGTCTCGTCGCACCGGGACATGGCATCACACAGTATGGTAAGGGGCATAACATCTCGAATCGCGCTCGCGGAAATCGCTTGAGAAACAGTACCCTTCCGTGGCTCGGTACGCTTTCAACTCGCTTTTTTAGTCTCGAGCAAGACAGTATGACATTCACATTACATGATTTGACTGACTTTTACGTAGAAAGGGCGACAGCGCACCACATTAAAAGAAATGTTCAATTATGTTTTCGTAACCGCTGACCAAATTCAAAAACGAAACTAACATTAAATCATCTTTGAGAGCAAGGGGGCCCCCTGGTGTTTCGGGGGCCCTACGCAGCTTGCATATTTTATGTATAGGGAGGATCGGCTCTGATCATATGCGGCATCACTCTGGAGAGAAAACATTTAAGTGTGATTAGTGTGGGAAGAATTTTACCTAATCGGCAAATCTAAAAAAAAACACTTCATATGAATGAGAGGCCCCATAAATGCTCTTTGTGTGGAAAGAGTTTTCCACGGCTGGACTCTTTGAAACAGCACCAAAAAATCCATGATGCTGTGCGGGATCACGTGTTTTGAGTGTGGCAAGAGCAGCAGCTTTACAGCAGCTAGTCATCTGATGCAGCAACACAGGATTCATAATGATGAAAAACCGTTCAGCTGCCCGCAGTGTGGAAAGAGTTTCACACAAAAAGGCCACTTAAAGGGGTCCTATTATGCTTTTTCACTTTTTCAACTTTAGTTAGTCTGTAATGTTGCTGTTTGAGCATAAAAAAAACATCTGCAAAGTTACAAAGCTCAAAGTCCACTTCAAAAGGAGATATTTTATTTAACAGAAATCACTTTTCAAAAACTACAACGAACGACTCGTTTGGTCTACAACGCATATTTTCCGGGATTTATGATATCACAAATACCGATGAATGGAAAATTTAAATTGAAGTGAAGGTGCAGTTCAGGAGAGAACTTTTAATTATTTTGCATGTCCCCAGTCTAAGGAGTTTTTGTGATGGCCATACAAAAATAGGGTTGTCTGTGTTTTAGAATTTGTTTGGGTGTATTATTTGTGATGGCCTGGATGAGTGTGATATTTCCCAGCCTGAAATATTTTCCCAGTCCGCACCTTCTGGAAATTAATGACGCAGACACGCGGTTTCATTTAAAGGAACACTCCACTATTTTTGAAAATATAGAATTTGTTTGGGTGTATGGGATGGCCTGGATGAGTGTGAGATTTTCCAGTCCGTAAATTAATGGCGCAGACACGCGGTTTCATTTAAGCGTGCATGTGTATCGCTCGTGGTCTTTTCAGCCATCTCAATATATATGAGTACATGAACACATAAACATAATCTCTAGAACTGCTCTGAGTCACTACATGAGCATTTTACAATTTCTTTTGAGAAAACTATTGTCATATCATATAAACAGACACCAAAGTTTTAAAAAGACACCAATGTTTCAGGAGTTTAGTACAAAGACTAAGACACATGCTTGTTAGATAACCATATTTGGGTTGATGTATATGCTTTTATTTTTTTTTTTTAATTAACTGGGGTTTTTTTTCCAAAGCATTGTTAGATGCAGTGTTTCCTTTTAAATAGGGTAACTTGTAATCTGTAACCTATTACATTTTCAAAGTAACCTTCCCATCACTGGTCACTATGTCGGAGATGCGCTAGTTTTCACAAAGCAGATGAACTTAGAGTGGTTACAATCATCCGGGTTTAAATGACGCTCAAATTGATTTGATTTTGACACAATATTTACACTGAAGCTGGCAGTGGTAAGGAGCATGTCATTTCCTGATCAGGCACCGAGTGGAGCCAATCACAACACACACTGGTCCAGCTAACCAATCACAGCACGTTTTGTAATAATGTAAAATATGTGAAAAATAATGTGTTTTACGAACAACCTAGTATGAGAGCCTGTTCTAGTACACCCCCAAAACAAAATCAAGACTTTGTAAAAGAGCATAATAGGACCCCTTTAAACAAGCGCATACAAACACATTATGGAGAGGAACCTCAAGCATCGGCTCTCAATCAACTGCGCAGTAGATCAAATATATGAGATTCTAATGATTCGAATGTTCTGTTACTGTTTAAATAGAGTTGTGTTTTTAATTTTAATGTTCTTTTATTCTGGAGAGTAGCAAGAGTATATTGCGCTTAGATTTGTGTATTTTTATTCTTGCATTTATTGAAGATCATTGAAAAGCTTTCAGTCATCTTTTAATCATGTAAAGCATTTAGTCTAACGATTCATGTGAACCAAACTTAAACCAGTGAAAACAAGAATCTCTTAAAAAGATAACTCAGACAGATTTAATCATTTTAAGCATTGCAAAGTGAGATTTGTTGAAATAACGTCAGTATTGTAATTATTACATTATAGCAAAGGTGAATTTTGGGGGGGGGGGAGTCACGAAGCAGAACAGGTGATGGAACGACCACAAAAGCAGAGATTGTGTTAGGGTTTGATCAAGGACAAACAACAAACAAACAAATTAATTAATGAATTAAGTAGCTTTGAACTGTCCCAAGATTTAACAAACATTTTAATTTGTTGAGGTTGCGCGACTTTATTTAATAATTAAAATTGTGTAGGACGCATTTAAAATGTTGGACGGAGCGTCACCGCCCTCTAGTGGACCATCATTAGTTGAAGTTTGCCTTGCTTAAACCTTATGCCTCTAATTATTCAGTCAGGGAAGACACGAAACGTCACGTGTTTATCGCTCGAGTCACAAATAGAGAGTGAAAGTAAATGCTCAGGTGTTTCGCCATGTATGAATCGATTTACAATACGGAATATTGAAGTGTTTTATGGGGAGCTTTATAGCTAATGAATTTAAACGTGGCTACTTGACCGGAAAGTTGGAGGATTTGTGTGAATCTCTATGTAATTATATTTTGGTCAAGGTGAGTGCTCAGACCTCCTGATGTGTTTCGGGTTGCCTGCGGTTTATTTTAGCATTTGTGCTGACATAGAACAGACATTATTTGAATTCGAGTGAACATGCGTCTCAGGATCCTGCTTTTTAAATTTATTTCTTTATTTATTTATTGTCACATGATCCTGTTTCTCCGTCTCCCTGGATCGGCTTGACGCCATCGCCGCCCGCGTCTCAAATAGAAAGTGAAAGTAAATGTGATGTTTCGCCTTTTAAACAATTAGAACCGTTTCTTTACAATACGTATTATCGACGTTTTTAATAGGAACCGTGAATTTACCTGTAGCTACTTATAGAAAAGGCGGAACATGTTGTCGATATGTAATTAAAAATTGATCAAGGTGAGAACACAAGACTCGAGACACTGTACAGGTGACTTCTGGAAACGAGAAAAACAGGATTTTAGGATCTTGAGACGTGATAGGCCTACTTCTGTTTCTCCGACTCTCAGGATCCGTTCAGCTGAATTATGAGTCAGTGGTGAAGATCAGATTCTGTTTCATCATGGATGACTCACAAACATCCAGAGATGAAGATTTTTCTCCAGGATGCAGGTACTTTCAATAAACACTATTTAATCACTTTTAAATGATTGAAGATGGCAATATGTTGTTTGATGATAAAGACTTTTTGGACCTTACAGTAAAATTATGGTCGTCATAAAGCATTTCCTTTTTTCTGTTATAGTTTTGTCCATCAGAAGTGATCAGAACAGTACAATATTTGGAATACAGTAATTTAAAGCATTGACTGTAATCTTTTTTTTTTTTTTTTGTAGTTCAGTTCATCAGAAGAGTTCAGAACCAGAGCCCAGCTGTGTCTCTATGAGGAGTGACGAGTCTATGTTTTGGCCAATAGATTTTAAGGGTGGAGATACACAGTCTGATCTAAGGTTTAATATTTCTATAAAAATATGAACAATTATCAGTAAAATTATTTAAAAATATATGGATTATCAGAATAGTATTCTAATAATGATAAATTATTTTATTTTCATTTGATAATTTAATATATATATATATATAGTGGTGCTCACACAGAGACATATTTGTGATAGAATTCAGTTCAGTTTACAGTTTTTGTATCAACACAAATTAAGTAAAGATCATAAAGTGCTGTTTAAAATGTTTGTACGGCTGAATATATATATATATTTTTTATTTGTATACAGTAATTTAAAACATTCACAGAAGAGATTGGAACCAGAGCCCAGCTGTGTGTCTATGAGGAGGTCCTGTTCTATGGATAATATAATAAATTCTAAGAGTGGAGATACACAGACTGATCTCAGGTATAGCATTTCTTTGAAATATATGATTTGATGATGATACAGAATAAAAAAAAAAACATTGTTCTCATTAACTTATGTAAAAAAGTGATATTTATATTTTACAGTAATGAAGTCCTCAACACATTTAGATCAAATCTGTTGAAGAAGTTTCAGTGTGTTAATGAGGGACCAGCAAAGCAGGGAAACCCAACACTCCTGAATGAGATCTACACAGAGCAGTGACAGAGGTACGAGGCTTTAATGACCCAAAGAAGGAGGAATACTTCAGAAAGAGAATCAGTGATCAGAGTCTGGCCAACAGAATCATCTCACACCTGAAGTCATCAAGGAGCCTCTACATCATGTGCCACATCCCAGTGTTCTGCTGGATCTCAGCCGCTGTTCTAGAGAAGATGTTGAGTCCAGCAGAGAGTGGAGAGATTCCCAAGACTCTCACTCAAATGTACACACACTTCCTGATCCTTCAGACCAACATCAAACATGAGAAGGACTATGAGAAGAACGTGACAGATGAAGACATGATCCTCAAACTGGGGAAAGTGGCTTATCAGCAGCTTGTGAAAGGCAATGTGATCTTCTATGAAGAAGACCTGAGAGAGTGTGGCATTGATGTGACAGAAGCATCAGTGTACTCAGGATTGTGCACTCAGATCTTCAGAGAGGAGTTTGGCTTGTATCAGGGGAAAGTCTTCTGCTTTGTTCATCTGAGCATTCAGGAACATCTAGCGGCTCTATATGTGCACCTCTCCTGTACAAACCACAACATAAATGTGTTTGAGCCAATCACCAAACAGAGTTTGATATCTAAAGTTCGAAAAAATTCATCAGATGTTTCATTATCTGCTCTGCATCAGAGAGCTGTGAATGAATCTCTACAGAGTGAAAATGGACGTCTGGACCTTTTCCTGCGGTTTCTTCTGGGTCTGTCAGTGGAGTCTCATCAGATTCTCTTACAAGGACTAATGAAACAGAAAAGAAGCAGCTCTGACAGCAATGAGGAAACAGTTGAGTACATCAAGAAGAAGATCAGGACCATTAACTCTCCAGAGAAATCCATCAATCTGTTCCACTGTCTGAATGAACTGGGTGATCATTCGCTAGTGGAGGAAATACAACAGTATCTGAAATCTGGAAGAATAGCTGAAGCCAAACTCTCTTCATCTCAGTGGTCAGCTGTAGTTTTTGTGTTGTTGACATCAGAGAAGAAGCTGGACGAGTTTCATCTTGATAAATTTGTTAAAAGAAGCAAAGCTGAAAATATGAAAGTTCTTCAGATGCTTCTGCCTGTGGTTATAGAATCCAGATCAGTTCAGTAAGTAAGAAAATCAAATTGTAAAGTCAGAGAAGTCCTATAAATAATTCTGGCTTACCAGGTATTGTTTTTTTGTTTTTGTTTTTTTACATTTTTAAACATGGGCATAATAGACCAAGCAGAAATTGAGACCAACCAAGTGAATAATCAGTACATATATAAATCATATTTCACATTAAAAACATGATTTTTCAATGAATGGAGCAATATGGCAACATACTTAAAACACATTTTTTGAGGACAACTAATTTGTAAATGCTGATTGAATTCGGTCCTAAAGTTTTTGTGTGTATGTGTGTACAGGCTTATCCTCCATTGTGGGGTCCAAATGTCCCCACAAGGATAGTAAAACCTGACATTTTTGACATTTGGTTTCTGTTTCTGTGAGGGGTAGGGTTCGGGGTAGGTTTAGGTTTAGTGTATAGAAAATACTGTTAGATCTGAATAAAACAATAGAAGCCTATGGCAAGTCCCCACAAAGATAGCTATATAAATGTGTGTGTGTATTTGACCATGAAGCTGGAATTTAAAATGAGTGTTTATTGCAGTTGTTTGATTGCTTTTTTTCCAGTTCATAGTGTTTAACAAGTATGGTTGTCATCTTTTTACAGTTTAAAAGATTGTGGTGTTACAGATGAAGGTTGTGCTGCTCTGGCTTCAGCTCTGAGATCAAACCAGTATGATGACCCATACTCGGAATTTGTGCTCTGCATTTAACCCATCCAAGTGCACACACACACACACACACACACACACCCGGAGCAGTGGGCAGCCATATTACTGCAGCGCCTGCGGAGCAATTAGGGGGTTAGGTGCCTTGCTCAAGGTCACCTGAGTCGTGGGTATTGAAGGTGGAAGAGCACTGTTCATTCACTCCCCCCACCTACAATTCCTGCCGGTACTGAGACTCGATCCTTCAAGTCTGACTCTCTAACCATTAAGTCACAACTGCCTAATGGTTAGAGAGTCGGATCATATGACTCTCACACATGAAACACAATGTAAAGTATATTTGAAGTCATGGACAAGCTCAATCGGACCCTTCAATCAATATACTGTCAAAACTGTTCCATGTATTATGTATTAAGACTTATTTCTCCTGCTTGAATAAGTCTTTAGATGTTTTGTGCTCTGTGACATTTTAGACCTCAGTCCAAAGATCCATCAAACATGTCGATTTGTGCTTTAAATTTGTACTTTCTCTTTAATAATGGATTCACTGCTAAAGTGATCTGATTTGATCTGAGAGAGTGAAGAGTTTGTCATTGTTCTCTTCAGGTTGAGTAAGTGTGGTCTCACAGATGAAGGTTGTGCTGCTCTGACTTCAGCTCTGAGATCAAACCCTGAACACCTGAGAGAACTGGATCTGTCATCAAATAAAATGGGAGATTTGAAAGTGAGTCTGCTCTATACTGTACTGGAGAATCCTCACTGTAAACTGGAGAAACTGAGGTAAGACCATGGATGACTCTGACACATGAAACACCTTGTAAAGTATATCTGAAGTGTTCAGCCTCTTTCTGCTGCTGTGAGTTCAGCTGATTGAGCTGTAAATGATTGAACACATGAGCTGGTCCTCAGTAACATGATACTGCAGGACTGAGAGTCACACTGAAACACACTTTCCCACACAATCAACATTTCAATCTCTTGAATTTAAACAGACTTGAGCTAAACACAGTCAGAAATTAAAATATGGATTCATTCTTGCTAGAGATGAGCAGATCAGCTCTAACCACCCAAATCCACTGTTAAAATAAATTGGCTACCCACCACCCACCTGAAACTAAGATTTTCTCTGATTTGGTTATCCCAACCCCACCAAATCGTTACTTTAAAGCTGCAGTCCGTAACTTTTTTGGTTAAAAATGATCCGAAATCAATATTTGAGCAAGTACATAACCAGCTAGTGTTCGAAACTATCGCCTTACTTTAGCCCGATTCACAACGGTTAGCTTATAATAATATTTTCTAATTTGAGTCGTACGGGTAGGTTTTCGCGGGAAATTCGAGCATGGCACTGCGTCATTACGTCACGTCTGTAAACATAAAGAAGTTGTCCCGGCTACTAGGCTATCGCATGTGAGGATCCTGCAGGTGGCGGATAGTTTATAGCCTTTTCTCACAGCAGCCAGAATAATTAAATGTATCATTTTGGTGGCGGATTGTAATCCATAAAGGATTATGTGTTTATGAAACACATGTGAATGAAATTAAATTATATTCCAGTTATAAATATGCTTCTGATTACAGATAGCCTGGGATTACAAAGATTTGTATTTTAAAGAAAACCAGTTCGAAGGGAGCATAATTTGCTTTTTGGGTTAAAAGAATTTCTTAATATGAAATTCGAAGAGTATGAAAATTAGTTTAGACTGTGCAGAAACTGAAATCTACATGCTAATACACACTATACTCATAGTCACCAATGCTGATGTTGTCAACATTAATCATTTGAGAATAAAGTATAACAATAATAATAATTTGAACGGTTTGATGCGATATGAGCTAACTGATCTTTAGATTAAATCACCATTGGTTGCGAGATTTATTGTAATGCTTTTTTCCTCAGTTGGTCAGAACAAAAGTGGCAGACTTGTTACTTGTTCAGATGGCAATATACGGTGAAAATTCTTATTCGGGTCATATTCCAAGATGTAGGCTAGAATCTGTGATTGCGAAGTACAGTAAATATCCACACCGGTGCGGTGACTGACTGCCACACATACTCTTCAGAACATTAGATTCATCTGAGCTGGAGCCGGGCCCACTCACAACCCACGCAAGCTAGATAATTCTGCACACAGCTGCAATTCCAGGTTTTCAAACAGAGATGGCGACAAAGAGGCAAAACTTATGGCTTTGGGGGCTCGAGTCCCTGCTCTTTTTCAAAATGAATCAAAAGTGACCCTCTCATCAATTATTAACAGTAATATTGGTCAATAAACCAAAATTCATTTGAATTATAATTAATGACAATGTGTACAAAACATTAAATAACTACTCAAAATTCCTGTTTATTTTTACATCAGTCTGAGACATCGTTGCCTTAACATGTTGTTACCGGTTGCATTCGTCTTGCTCAAACAGGCTCAGATTACATTGTCAATGACAATGTGAAGTAGAATGATAATTTCTCCGTCTTATTCATAAATTGGTTGAAAATGTAACCACTGTCTGTTTTTTTTTTAAATGTGAAATGGCTAAAATATAATAATTTTAACATGTTCCATGAGGTTCACATATGATGTTAATGAAGTTTTTTGCACACACACAGAAACAAATATATGTGGGGGAAAAATTATTTTCAGACCCTCTGTCTGAAATGATCAGTTTTTAAGTTTTTAAGGCCTGTCAGTAATAATTGACCACTGTTATGATTGGCTGACATCATTGCATAGGAAACAGTATCAATGCCCACTCGCTTTTGCACAAGAGTAAGTGTTTTGCAAAACATTATCCATATAAAACTGGCATTTATTGTTTACTTACTGTTTGCAATGCAACTGTTAATATGTTAATATTTGCATCATTAATGGTTTATCACATCCACCTGCGACCTACCCGCAATTAATCCGAATGCTGTTTTTATTTACTTGGTCCGCCTGACCCACAGATTATCCGCTCTGTCCATAGATATAATTCTAATCACTAATTCTTACTGTTCATCACAATTATCATTCTGCAGCAACTCTTTGAGATATTGTTTTAAATGTGTAAAATCACACACACTTGTACAGTATACAGTATGTGGTTTACGGGGATTCTTGGCGTAATGGTGTTTATATTGTACAAACTGTATTTACCCTTACAGAAATCTTCTGGCATTTTTTGAATTTCAAAAAAACATAGTTTAGTATGTTTTTAAAGTTTTTTTTACTGGGACACAGGAAGTTTGTTCCTGTTTACGTTGTTTACACCATGTTTACGTTGTAATACCCATGTCATTAGTTTAGTTTAGAGCTTTATTAATCCCCTTGGGCAATTATTTCAGACTGTCCTGATGCTTCACATATACAACCAACACATACACTAAATACATTCAAAAATCAACTACATTTATTACATAAACGTATTGCTTCAGGCACAGAAGTAAATTTGTAACAATTTGAAGAATATCTGTTCACCCAAAAATGAAAATTAGCCCATGATTTACACACCCTCAGGGCATCTTAGGTGTATCTGAAGCGAAACGATGCGTTAGTGTAAGAAAAATATCAATTAAAAAAAATGTATAAACTGTAATCTCCAGCTTCTGGTCGCTCAAGCAGGCGAGTTCACGACGATGATAAATACACCTTTCGTATGGAATTAAATAGCAAGCACTTTGAGTGTCTTGTTGATTATATTTATTTTCATATAAAAGCAACAGAACTGAAATTATATCATGTTTATTAGCAACACAGCATGTAAGTGAGAATAACGCGATATCTGTCTTTGATCTCGTTGGTATCTGTTCCACTTCGAGAGGTCAGAAATGTCCGTCTTGACTGCGCTTATTTCACTCCTCCCCTCACTGCAGCCGCCTACTCTCGCCTTCATTTCAGGCGAGGCGAGGCGCATCTCAAACAAGCCTAAGGTGTTCGAGCGTATGATGTAAGTGTAGCAGAAGATGCAACGTAAGCTCCGGGGAGAGAGTGACGAACGCGGAAGCAGAGAGGAGAAAGCAAAAATGTCAGAGGATTTCGACATAAGGCAAGAGGAGAATGAGTTTTTTGCCCAGCCATATTTGTTTGACCCAGGAACTCCGCGAGACGGAGGAGGCTGCAGCAGCAGCGGCACAAACTACAGATGTAGTTCACATGGTTTCCCTGTGCTGTAAACAAAACCTGGTTCTCGTGAGACTACACTCTTCTCCCCGGAGCTTACGTTGCGTCTTCCACTATGCCTACGTCATACGCTTGAACGCCTTGTTGTGAACTCACCTGCTTAAACGACCGGAAGCTGGAGATTACAGTTTATACATTTTTTAAAAATTTATATTTTTCTTACATTAACACAATTTTTTTATAATTGCATCCGTATTTTGATCAAACTTCAACCTGTTATCAATAATCATTCCTAAATACTTGTATTCCTCTACTACATCCACCTGTGTGTCGTTAATGACCACCTGTTGAAGTGCAAGTGTTTTCTTACTAAAACTGATGATCATCTCTTTAGTTTTTGACACATTTAGATCAAATGTTATCCTATTACACCACAAAATAAAATCATACAAAACTGAACCCAAAAAAGCCACACAAAAGCTCCACTATTTTCCAGATGTCGACAGGAGCATATAGCAAAAACAGTTTTGCATCATCTGCCTCTTCCAGCGCGATATGCAAACTGGAACGGATCTAGGACTTGTCCAGCAACCGTCATCATATGCTTTTTGATCTCTTTTTCAAAAGCCTTCATGACCAAAGAGGTCAAGGCAATAGGACGGTAAACATCAATGCCTAAACATAGCACCTAATGAATCTGAGGTGGTACAAGTTGTAGCTCTTTGGAAATTCCCAGTTCACAAGTTGTAATTACGAGTTCTACGAAGACATGAAGGCTTTTTACAAGTTGGTATCTCGTAATCACGGTAATTATGGCATTAACAAACCTTCAGTTCTTCAGGAATATTGCAAGCAGGATCGACAGAACCGGTGTTGTGCCCAGTTCTGAGTTTAGAGATACAGTGGGTACGGAAAGTATTCAGACCCCCTTAATGTATTAGATCAAAAGGGTGCTTCTACTAAATACTGAGCAAAGGGTCTGAATACTTAGGACCATGTGATATTTCAGTTTTTCTTTTTTAATAAATCTGCAAAAATGTCAACGATTTTGTGTTTTTCTGTCAATATGGGGTGCTGTGTGTACATTAATGAGGAAAAAAAATTAACTTAAATGATTTTAGCAAATGGCTGCAATATAACAAAGAGTGAAAAATGTAAGGGGGTCTGAATACTTTCCGTACCCACTGTATGTGTATAGGGCTGCACGATTATGACAAAAATCAGAATTGCGATTATTCCCTTGAAATTGTAATTGCGATTTATTAATTACGATGATCACAATTTACAGTGAATGATGTTTTGATTAGCTTTATACCATTTTTTGAAGCAAATGCATGCCACATTTTTATATGAAAATAAACAAGCTGAAAACACTCTTCCTGAAAAACTTTTATTGCTTTTCTATAGCATTAAGCTTCAAATGTCAACTATACGTTGGTTTGGATTCTTTAAATAAATAAAAAAAAAAAAATATGCATGGTATTATAATGTTGGAAAACTAAAATTTAAAACAATGGGGGAAAAAACCTTAAGGTAACCTGTAGAAAAAAAACACACACTTATGCACGCAGAATAATGTAAGTGGACTTTTTTTTATTTTTTTTGTAATTGCGCCTTTGAACGATTACGTAATTATGTAAATGCAGCCATAGTATATACACATTTGTGTCCTCATACACCATGTATTCACACACACTCACACACATATACACACACACAAATCACAATCAATATCAATGCCATACATGTTAGCACAAAATGTTATAATAAAATGTTAAATTCAGATGTTTTATGATCATATTTTGTGCTCTGTGACATTTTAGACGTGAGTGATCAATCAATCAAAAATGTTGATTTGTGTTTTAATTGTGTACTTTCTATTTAATAATGGATTCACTGCTAACTGATCTGGGGTGCGTTTCCCAAAAGCAACTATGGTCGCAAGTTCTGTCATTACCAATAGATTTCAATGGAACTAACTACCATAGTTAGCTAACGATGCTTTTGGGAAACGCACCCCTGATCTGAGAGAGTGAAGAGTGTGTCATTGTTCTCTGCAGGTTGAGAGATTGTGGTCTCACATATGAAGGTTGTGCTGCTCTGACTTCAGCTCTGAGATCAAACCCTGAACACCTGAGACATCTGGATCTGTCTGGGAATGAACTAGGAGATTCAGTGAATCTGCTCTCTTCTGTACTGGAGGATCCTCATTGTAAACTAGAGATACTGTGGTAAGATCACATTTCTAAGACTAAAACCAGCTTGTAAAATAAATGTTTAGTAAACTCACTAAATCTCAGAACAAATGACTCTGATGACTAAAGATTATGTTAATTTCATCCATCTCCATCACATCTGCTCACATTCTGCTCCTGTTTTTGACCCACCAAACATTTACTGGAGCTTCTGGTAGTTTGATTAATACTTCTCAACTTACTCCTCTCCTTTAAAGGTTCATTTTCATTTTGCTTACTTGTTCTGAAATCCCATGAGCTCATTGTGTTCTCATAGATGTCATAAAGCATGGCATGAATTGAGGTGAAACTGTGAAATACATTGGATAGCTGGAAGCCTTTGCCGCTATTGTGAACGAGCAATCTGAACAAAAAGCTAATTCTTAGTTCTGATTGGAAAACTGGAGATTTAACATGAATGTTCAGATATCATTATTGTGTAAAAGAGTGAGCCAGAGCCTATGTGACTTACTGCAGATGACGACTAATTCAGAGGTTTAGAGTTCAGCAGTCCTCACATATCCTGAGCAAAGTATTATTTAAGAAAATAAAGACAATAAAAGCTCCATAGACCATAAAGCTGGAGGTAAATGTGAGGAAAAGAAGCTCATTAACATCATCTCAGTGCATGTGTAGACAATAGTTCTTACATGGTACATTAAAACTGTTAATATTTCATTACATTTTTATTCAGTTTATAAGCTGCCAGATGAGACCAAACACAACAAAAATGTGTTTGATTACAAAAGTTAATAAATGTTATGCAATGGGGAACATGTGGGTCCTGTGAAGCAAATGTCCTCCTGTAGGTGTTTATTAGAGGTACACATCATGAGAACGCAAGGCAGTTCATTCCATTTTTGGAACCTTTTTTTTTATTATTATTATTGATTTCCAACATATAATATAAAGGTACTGAACAAATATAAACTACAACAAAGAAATAGAAAATATACAGTATAATATAAATAATACAGGTAAAAAAATTTGTGTATAATAATAATAATAAAAAACTAAACAGAAAAAAGAACAGGTATGTGTCAGGGTTGTGGATGAAGGGATGATGCAAGGACTCAGTAGTGCAGAGTAATGGGCTTTTAATAGTAAAATAAAACCAAACAATCAACAAAAACTACCCTGTGGCAGTGTTGCCAACTGCTTTCAATTGAAAGTAGCTAAAACCGGTAGCTAAATGTCACTAGATGACATCACAATGGCAAATTCACTGATCTATATAAAGATGAACGTAGATCAGTGGGCAAGATGAGAACTTAGATAAGGTTTGTCCAAGCAGTTGCTATATTTGTCCCTAAACTTTTGAAAAAAGTCTCAAAAGGGGCGGGGAAGTCACTAAATCTAGCTACAAAGTAGCTAAATTGGCAACACTGCCCTGTGGGGGAAAACAGGCTGGCAAGGCAGGATCACGACACTAGCCCAGGACTTCAAACACAAGGACAATAAATAGGGCGCAAATGAGGAGGGTAACGAGGGAACACATGTGGGGCAAATTAACCAATAATCAGGTAACAAGACGGGTGGGGTCAAGACAATTGACATGAGAGCACATGGCACACAGGAAACAAAGACAAAAGCCATGTGCTCACACAAAACAATCACAAGCCATGTGCTTGAACAAAACAAGACATGAACACGCCAACGTGATCTCATGATAATTCGTATGTATTTTACGTAACGTGATTCTATAAAACGTACATTTACTTACGTTTTTACAGGCACTAAAATGTACAATACTGACATATTTTCAGCATCTAAACGTACAAATACTTACGTATTTTCTGCATTTAAGCGTACAAAATTGACGTATTGACGACACCTAAAAATGAATCCTTATGAATATTGAAATCGCGGCATTAATTTTATTAGTTTTTAGTTGTCATATGAATTAGCTTGTTTTCAATTGCGTTATTAAATTGTTTACTTATGTGTGATTTCTGCTGCCAGCTCGTTTCCAAGAATATGCCTACATAATGTTAAACAAGACTTCACTTTAAATCTTAAAATAAATAACATTTCTGCAATCGTTTAACCTTTACTTGTCATGTAATGTTTACGTTGATTGTCATGGGCCACAAAAGGCGTTTGTTCCCAACATGCTGTGACTAACAATAGAAATATAAAATACACCAAAAACGCAACATAATTACGAAATGAAACACGCTCATTGGCTCTCGCCTGCATTCGTCACAGATTGCGACATGCCGTGTTTCTGGTGAGGTGTGTTTGAATGATGCGCGAGTGCCTTCACGAGTTCATGGAGTGGATCGGGAAAATTATCTGGACATATTTTCAGCGATTAACAACATAAATTCTGCTCTGGATCACACAAACCTACTTTATTCCGCCAGAGAGTACTGCGGGTGCAACGCATCGTAATTTGGATTACTTTTGGTGCTGCCTGGCAATTTGACTGGCTGGCAGGACAAGGCACACGACAGAGATCATCCGATGACAAACTGGCACGGGATTGCAAACACAAGGAGAATAAATAGGGAGCAAATGAGGAGGGTAACGAGGGAACACATGTGGGGCAAATTAACCAATAATCAGGTAACAAGATGGGTGGGGTCAAGACAATTGACATGAGCACATGGCATACAGGAAACAAAGACAAAAGCCATGTGCTCACACAACAAAACACAAGCACATGGCCAGCCAAACAAATCACAAGCCATGTGCTTGAACAAAAAGACACGAACACGCAGCTAATGAGAAAACTCATAAGCTGCGTGTTCACACAAGACAACAAGAAAAGCACGTGGCTGAACACAAACCGCGTGCTACACAACACACGTGGACAGAAGCGCGCACGGCCGAGCGAACTCGAGACCGCACGCTCCCACAACAGACAGAACATGGAGCGTGAGTGTCCGGACCCCGACACGAAATAGAAACTCAACCAGACATGAGTGCCGGGATCTGAACACCATGCTCCAACATGAAACGACACGCAGACGAGAGCGCACGTGCAATATATTGGGAATATTATACCTTTGAAGAAATTCAATGTAGGTATACAGGTGTCCATTTTCATTAAATAACTGTTTAACAAATATAATACTATTGTCTACCCATTTTTGAAAAAACTAAGTTTTATGTTTAAACATTATATACTGTACCTGTTATTCCAAATTATACATTTATTTGGAGAGAAATTATGCTTATATATAAGCATCCGTGAGAGTAGCACCTGCTTCTGAAAATTACTTAATCTAACTGGAATCTTACTTATTTCAAAGTTGCATTGCAACAGAAAAGCAACACCACCCATCTTTTTTTTTTTAAAGATTAGATTAGGAATTAAATACCAAATTTTATTTTTATATTGAAAGTAATTCTTGATCCATCTATTCTTTAAAAATGCATTTGATGTGCTGAAGTCGAGCACATTTAAGCCTCCATTACCAACCGAATTAGTTAAGGTACCTTTTTTTAATGTAATGAGATCTATTTCTCCAAATTAAATTGTAAAGATTTTTATCTATTTCTTTAATGATGTTATTAGGGACTTCTAGTGAAATAGCAGGATAGAGCAGACGAGATAAACATTTATTTTTTGATAAAAGAATTCTATCGTTCATCGACAGGTCTCTCATTAACCATAAATTAAATCGATTTTTAACTTTTTGAACCACAGGTTGAAAATTAAGCTGTCCCCTTTCCCTTTCCTTTTCATCATTACATATTTTGATTCCTAAATAGGTAACAACATTCTTTACAGGGATGCCATTAATATCAAGAAGTTCACCATTTTTCAGAGGGAACAACTCACATTTGTTTAAATTTAATTTTAACCCTGAAACCAATGAAAAGTCATTCAAACAATCAATCACATTTTTAATTTCTAATGAATCTCTAACAAATATTGTTGTATCATCTGCTAATTGACAGCATTTTATTTCTCTTTCTAAAATCCTGATTCCGTGAAAATTATATTTGTTAATGTAAAGAGTCATTGTCTGGGTTACAAGTAAAAATAAAAAAGAAGATATTGGGCATCCCTGCCTTATGTTATGCCTCTTTCTAAGATAAATCTGGGGGTAGTGCCATTTGCAAGTTTTACTGAGCTATTACACCCATTATATAAAGTATAAATGGCCCTTTTAAAGAAATCACCAAAGCCAAAAAAATCCAAAATCTCAAACATAAATTTGTGGTTAACGGTGTCAAATGCTTTATAAAAATCTACAAAAAATATAAAACTTTCACTATCAATATACTTAATTATAATCAATTAAATCTAGGACCAAACGAATATTATTACTTATATGTCTGCCCTTCATGAATCCTGATTGGCAATCATCTATAATTTGCTCTAAGCATTTTTTTAATCTTTCTGCAAAAATAATGGAGATCACCTTAACAAATCGTTATTGAGTAATGTAATAGGTCTCCAATTGTCTATTAGGGTAGTGTCCTTATTAGCTTTTGGTATCAGACTAATCAATCCCTGACATAATGATGGAGGTAACTCACCACGTTCTATAGCTTCATTAAACACACATAGTAAAAACTCAGATAATTGTTCTTGAAATTCCTTGTAAAATTCGCTGACCAAACCATCATTACCGGGAGATTTATTGTCTTTTAATTTACTGATCCCAAATCTAACTTCTTCTATAGAAATATCTTTGTCGCACGACATCATACTATCCTGATCTATACATTTGGCATTTGCTTTAATGCTTTCTAAAAAAAAAAAAGTCTTGTATTGCCATAATCTTCTTTGCTATATAACGTCTGATAAAAGGTTGATATATAATTATACATTTTAACATAATCTTCAGACACCTCCCCATTTATATTAAGTTTTAATACAGAATTCAGCTCAGCATTTATTTTTTCTAAATTAAAAAAGTACCTGGAGTTTTTCTCCCTTTCTTCAAGCCATTTTCCTCTAGACCTTACAAATGCCCCTTTGACTTTATATTCATACATCTCATCTAATTGTAACTGTAATTCAAATAACCTGAGTTTGTCCTGCTGATTCATTACATGAATACTTGTCAAATTAACTATCTCTTTTATTACTTGTTCCTCTCTAGTCCTTTTAGACTGTGCTATTATTTTTCCTCTAACAATAACTTGCTTCCTTATAAAGTACTTCATGTACTCCCAATTGGTACCATACTTACTTGAACTTTTTGCATTGTTCCAGCAACTCAAAGTAATATTTTTAACTTCCTTTTTAAACAAGTCATCTTCCAATATTGCCTTATTTAATTTCCAGTGTGTTTGTGTTCTTATATTTTTATTAGCATTTCCAGATAAGTCAATAACTAGATAAATGACTTTATGGTCAGTAAGGACAGATGTTTCCACAGTAACCTGGCTTACTTGATTTTCTAATACACTGGATATGAGCCAAAAGTCTATTCTAGACTGTTTACTCCTGTCACTAGAACACCATGTAAATTCTTGTTTAGTTGGGTTTCTGATCCTCCAAATATCGATTAAATCCAGTCCTAAACACAAATTATGTAATTAATTGAAATTATTTAAACTATTTCCACGAGGAGGAATACAGTCTAAATTAATATCCCAAATAGAATTATAATCTCCTCCAAGAATTAGTTTAGCATCTGGATGTTTCAAGATGTCCAAGGACTGTCCAAGATGTTTCAGATTCTTTCTTCAAATTCTTGTAGTAAACTTGTATTCCTTACAGCACTGTTCGTTGCATATATATTCCCTAATACAAAATATTGCTGGTTGAATTCGACAATCAAAATGACCCATCTGCCCAAAGAATGTGAATAACTTTTAACAATTTTTCCTCTAAATTTACCCTTCAAAATTGCAACACCTGCAGAATGATTGCTACCATACGACATCCACATATCGTTTCCCCACTGGCTCTTCCAAAACTGAAAGTCTGATTCAGATGCATGTGTCTCTTGGATGAAATAACAATCGCAAAAATATTTTCTACAAAACAAAAAGATTGCTTTTCTTTTGAGTAACTTTCTCATACTTCTAACATTAAGTGAAAAAACAGCGAGTGAACACATACTCACAGAAGAACTTCAGAACAGAAGTTTACATCTCCGAACCCCGCATAACATTAATGTTCACCTGATGGCATACTGTAGGCATTTGTAAACTCGAGTCAAACATAAATGTCATTGCCTACTTCACAAAAATCTCCTTCCCATCCACAAATGCTCTGGTCCCAACAAAATAAGCCCTCCTGCCTTCTTTTCGTGCAGCTTCAACACTTGGCCACAGCTGACTCCTGGTCTCTTTATCAACTGCCGTCAGATCTTCAGCAAATCTCAACTTCTTTTCTTTCAAAAAACTGCTTTTCTTTGCACTTTTCCACAGCAAGTCTCTGATATGCCTGGATCTGAACTGGAGAATCACAGTTCTTGGCCTCTGGTTCACATCGAGCCTCCTTCCCACACGATGAACCACGTCAATTTCAGCAGCGAACTTTCCCTTTTCCTCTGGCAGCACTGCAGCGCAGATGTCCACGACCTTCTGTTTAATGTCTTCGCCTTCATGTTCGGCAAGACCATGAAGCCTCAAGTTCCAGCGCCTTCTATATCTCTCCATTTCGTTCACTTTAACTTCCAGATCCAATGTTATCTTGTCATGGGTAATGCTCGATGTTTTCAGTCCAGTCAGATCTGCTTTGATGTAATTGATCTCACGAGACAAGAATTTCGGTGGATTTCTGGAGAGCCTCAATCCCGTCAGAGTTCTTTTTAATAATTTTTTTTCCAAACCGTCAGCTCTTTCGTTAATTTTTTCTGTCAGCATTCTGACGATGTTATTTTGCAGGTCGAGGAGGGATGGCTCGTTCTTTGATTTCTTTGAATCGGGGGTATGCGGAGACGAATCAAGTTCTGTCAAACCTTTAGAAAGCAAAATTTCACGTTGCTGTTGGATTTGTGCACCTCCGCGATTTCCTGTTCAGCATCCATCCACACCTCTTGAGGGTCTTTCTTGGAACTTTGTCTCTCTTTGCGTTTTCCAGCCATAGCTTGCAGTGACGTCAATTAGCTTGCATGTTAACGGCGATTAAAACTTATTGATGAGATATATTTACAACAACAAATACAGCTCAAAAGTGGAGTAAACAAGATTACAGAGTTATTATTCGATCAGGTTAATATAATTAATACAAAGGGTGGGAATTGGGAGAAGAAACTTCTCGACCTCACAGATTAACATCCTCCACGGTCGCCATCTTGCGCGCCCCCCATTTTTGGAACCTTTCTTTGACTGAATGCTCGTTGCGGTGACGTCACGGGACGCGTCTAAGCCCAAAATCTGCGACAATTATGAAAATTTGCGAGCTCTTGCGAAAATTGCTGAGTTTGCTTCATTTTGCGATAAATTCAGCGATCGCAGAATTGTAAAATCCTGGAGGGACTGGCGCAAACGCTCTCCTTCTTAAAAAGTAAAATTATTATATACTTCCAATGCTTCATCACCAACCACATGAAGAAATAATGATGCATTCATTTTCTCTGACTTAAGATCTCCATCAACTGCAGATAAATACAGCAGAAATGTTTGTTTAAATCGTCTCCAATTTTCAGCAACATTACCGGAGAGTTGGAGCTTCGGGGTGGCTTTAATCCTTCCATCTCCTCAGTGTTGTCTCGTCACATGTGTGCATGTAATCCGCAAACTTTTCTTCTCTACTCTTTTTGTATATTCCACACGTTCCTTTAGCTCCACCACTTCTGACACCGTTTTGCTCATGGTTCTACCTTTTAGTAAATAAACTCCACATGCATTGAAATGGAACTTTTATTTAAACACTTTTATTTAACAGCAGCAAAGCTGCCAACACACACACTATAGGCCATCTCTGATCACATGTGCACATGCGCCAACATATATCAGACAGAGTTGCCACAACTAATTAGAAACAGCACTTACTTACATCTTACTTACAGCACTAACATAAACATGCATAAATCTCATTCTACCAGCAGCAGTATGTGGCAGCGCTTGTCATTATATCTCCTCTCCTGCTCTGAGACCAGAGACAATAACAAATTACACTGGAATGACAGTTCACTTTGTGTCATGTTCTCTCCAGGTTGTGTGATTGTGGCATCACAGATGAAGGTTGTGCTGCTCTGGCTTCAGCTCTGAGATCAAACCCTTCACACCTGAGACAACTGGGTCTGTCAGGGAATAAACTAAGAGGTTCTGGTGTGAAGCTGCTCTCTGATCTGAAGGTTGATCGACATTATGAACTGAAAGTATTTTTCTATTGTGAGTATATTTTTATTTGAAGCTTTTAAATTGGCCCAAATTTAGGAACAGGACTCATACACTGATCAGCAACAACATTAAAACCACTGATGGGTCAAGCGAATAACACTGATTATATTGTTACAATGGCACCTGTCAAGGGGTGGAATATTAGTCAGCAAGTAAACAGTCACCTCATCAATTACATATTTGGAATCAGGAAAAATGGGCAAGCAATAAGATATAAGTGACTTTGACAAGGGCCAAATAGTGATGGCTAGATGACTGGGGTCAGAACATCTTCAAAACATTCTCATATGTGACTGTCTGTGTGTTTTATTGTAGGACTCTCAGTATTTAGACGTTTCCTCAGGATCAGCTGATGGTGAATAAGGAGCCGCTACAGAGACACACAGTCACACAATCAACAGAGACTCAAGAAACACACAGTGGTCACACTGAATTCACATCATTTTCTTGTTTGTATCTTTTGTGGGTCTGTTCTTTTGAATTGCTGATGTCATCATATTTCCACAATTATGTGTTAAGGCATCTGCACACAGCCAAGGCTGCTCAAAATTCGATGTAATACAGCATAAAAGCCAGACTAATATTTGTCTCCGTGTAAATGCGTTTATGCCACCTCTGAGCAGCATTAAACAGTCTGCGTAAAGACACATAAATGCCACCTGAGAAGTGCTTCTGTGCCACCTTTGCAGTATCAATTTGGCATCAGAGGACCTGAATTACTGTATTATTTGGAGTTGTTTTGAATTTGCTGTATTGGTTACAATGTACACTCAATAACACTCAGTATACACAAGCATGTGAGAATGAGATCAATTGATGAATAACACTTTATTTTTACATATTAACTTTCAGTGTATATTTAGTATAACATGACAAGTTTTACATTAGAGAGCATGATGAGCCTGACTACTGAAGAGAAATAAATATTTTAAATGTTATATTTTTTTACCTATAATATAAACTTCTGCATAACATTTTATTGTTTAGCTATTTTATATATGCCAATCTATTTAAATGATCTATTAAAGTGGACAGATTACTGAAATGTTTCCTTTTTTGGTTGAATACTGCTTATTAAACTGGAGTCTTTGTCTAGATGTATCTATTCTGCACGATCCTTCCCTTTTCTGACAAGAAAATAAAGTTAGTAAATAATGGCAGATTTTGGTTTTGTGTTTGCAGAGGAATTTTAATAATGTAGGTAACATTTATTTTCTTTTGTAGTGTGATTTCTTTATGCACTTGAATGATCTGGTTTTCATGGAATCATTCCATACTTTAAGTTACTGTATAGTTAACATTCACTCCACATACCTATTTGGAATAACTGCTCTATTGTATTTAGAATAAAAAACTTTTTTTGAAAGATTGGATGGAAAATAGGAGACCCAATAGTTAATAGAACACACCATTTGGCTCGAAGTTTTGTATATTTTCACTTTCCTTTTTGGATTTTGGAACAAACCGTTACAGCTTCAGATCACAAGGTGTTGAATCACTGAAAATTTGTATTTGTATGAAGTTAAAACAGAATAAAAACATCTAACAAATAAACCAAAATTGAACAATGCCAAATTTGTGTGTTGTAGTAATTAGATAATATTACTGAATACAGATATTACAATAAAAATACTTAGGTGTGCAGGCTCCCGTTTAGATAGGAAAGACAAGAAATATGTGTCCTGTCATATCTTAATTTAAATATGCTTCAGTCAGACTGAAGGTATCGAGCGTCACCCTGAAATACTCAGAGCAGTTGGTGAACATGCTTTACAATGATGTTTTAATGCAGTTCATTTCTCTATAAATTATTTCAATATCGGGACTTGGATATAATTCCATTGACAGAGTTTTAAGTGATTTTGGTGGCTCTGTAAGTTTAACAGTTTATGACATGTTTTTTTTCACCTGAAACTTAACCTTGTCGCAGTTTATTTGTATCAATGGATTTCGGTGGACTAAACATTTAATATTAGTTTGATATTCATCATTTAATCTTTAAATTGATGTCACTTTATTACTTTAATCTACGTACTTTGTATCAGAGAGCTGTATTTGATTACACACCCATAAAAGACCTGTCATCACAACAGTCAATCATTGGTGATTATTTGTTATAATAAAAGTATTATACTGTATTATTATGACTGTATGTGCTGTTAATATACATGTCATGTTTAAACCCCATTCAGGTGCTCTTCTATAAACCATGGGTAAAAAGAAGGGGAAAGGCAGAAGTCCTCGAGCAGACAGCAGCACTGAGACAGCAGGTACATGTATGACAGCTGCCCTGAGCAATGAGATGCTGACAGTGATTTTAATCATGAAACCTCACACACGATTCTCCTGCTGCTTTGTAAGGGGTTTACTGCACTCACATCCGTAAATGAACTTGCCAGTTTGTGATTGCTGTGACCGAGCCAATGAGAGTAGTTGTGGGCGATACATGTAGCCACGCCTCTAGAGGCAAGAGGCAGTGCAGAGTTTGACCCATAGTCTAGACCAGGGGTCACCAAACTCGGCCCTGGAGGGCCAGTGTCCTGCAGAGTTTAGCTCCAATCCTAATTAAACACTCCTGAACCAGCTAATCAAGGTCTTAGGTATACTTGTGTTGAGGCAAGTTGGAGCTAAACTCTGCAGGACACTGGTCCTCTAGGACCGAGTTTGGTTAATCTTTAAATTGATGTCACTTTATTACTTTAATCTACGTACTTTGTATCAGAGAGCTGTATTTGATTACACACCCATAAAAGACCTGTCATCACAACAGTCAATCATTGGTGATTATTTGTTATAATAAAAGTATTATACTGTATTATTATGACTGTATGTGCTGTTAATATACATGTCATGTTTAAACCCCATTCAGGTGCTCTTCTATAAACCATGGGTAAAAAGAAGGGGAAAGGCAGAAGTCCTCGAGCAGACAGCAGCACTGAGACAGCAGGTACATGTATGACAGCTGCCCTGAGCAATGAGATGCTGACAGTGATTTTAATCATGAAACCTCACACACGATTCTCCTGCTGCTTTGTAAGGGGTTTACTGCACTCACATCCGTAAATGAACTTGCCAGTTTGTGATTGCTGTGACCGAGCCAATGAGAGTAGTTGTGGGCGATACATGTAGCCACGCCTCTAGAGGCAAGAGGCAGTGCAGAGTTTGACCCCTGGTCTAGACCGTGGGTTTGACCGGATCAAGCTGAAATGGTGGTTAATATTAACTGACACTGATGAGGCAGAAACGGTATACATAGACACACGTAGTCGATTTCTAGAAAACCAAAAAGCCAAATGCAGGTAATTTTCTGTTCGGCAGGTGAATGTCGCAGTTTCACATGTCTGACCAAAGCCCGCTAGTCCCATTATCACATAATTTTTTTATATTCAGACCCTTCTACCGTTTTACACATTGAGAGATTCTTTCACCAATGCATAACTTATATTTTTACTCTATATGTTTTTAATATTATTAATTTAAAGTCATGTGCATATTTTCATTTAGCAAAAGTCTTAATAATAATTATTATTATGGTTTTTTTTTTTT